GCGACCCCTCCTTGGGTTTCTGAGGCAATATCACTATGGAAGTAGATTGCCCAACCTTCCTTCCAAGGAGTGGCTGGTGGGTTTGAACCACCAGCGTTCTGTTAGCAGTCAAGTGCCTTAGGCACTATGCTACCAGAACTCCTTAGTGGTCTGTAATTTTCTTTGTGATGTCTCTGCCTGGCTTAGATATCAGGGTTATGCTGGCTTCATAGAGTTCTATAGTGCTCCTTTCTCTTCCATGTTTTTAAAGAGCTTGAATAGGACTAGTGTCAACTCTTCTCTGAATGTTCAGTAGAATTCTCCAGTGTAGCCATCTGGCCTTGCATTTTGTTGTTGTTGTTGTTGTTGGTAGTTTTTGATGACATCTTCAAACTCTTCTTTTGTAATGGGTCTCCTGTTTGTATTAGTTTTGGGAGGTAGAGTGTTTTTTGGAATTTGTATATTTCATCTAGGTTTTTGAATTTCTTGGAGTACAATTTTTCATAGTAATCAGTGATCACTTCTTCATCTCTACTGGATAAGTTGTAATGTCATTACTTTCTCAATTTGTTTTTTTTTGTCTCTTCTATTTTTTATCTTTTGTCAATGTAGCCAGTGGTTTGTCTATTTTATTAACTGTTTCAAAGAACCAACTTCTAGTTTTGTTAGTTCTTTCTATTTAGTTTATTTCTGCCTTGATCTTTATTATTTCCTTTTTTCTGGTAGCTTTTGGTTTGTTTTCCTCTTCCTTTTCTATTTTTTAAGTTGTTGGTTTTAATTAATTATTTTGATGTTTCTTCTTTTTTAATGTAAGTATTTATTGCTATAAATTTTCCTCTGAATACTGTTTGTGTCCTGTCTCAAAGCTTTTGATATACTGTGTTTTCATTTTCATTTGATTCTAGGAATTTTTTAATTTCATGTTTGATTTCTTCTATAATGCAATAGTTTTTTAGTAGTGTATTACTAGTTTCCAGGTACTCACTTATTTTTCCTGTTGTTCCTTTCCAGCTTTATACCTTTATGGTCAGAGAAAACACTTTGTATGATTTCAATCTTTTTAAATTTGTTGAGACTTGTTTTGTATCCTAGCTTATAGTCTATTCTGGAAAATGATCCATGGGCACTGGAGAGGAATGTGTATGATTCTGATGTTGAGTGAAGTGTTTGATATATGTCCGTTAGGTCCAACTAAGCCAATCATTTTTGAGATATGAAAACAGAAGATTAGGCACAGAGACAAGTAAGTAGGAATTGGGGAGAGACAGATGGCACATGGAGATCTCCAAGGAACATAAAGAAGAATACTAGAGAAGCTGAAACAAGGCTTTTTCCCTTATAGCTGGTACCTGAATAATTCAGACTTCTAGACCACGAATTGTGAGAAAATAAATTTCTGTTCATTAAAACCATTCCTTTGTGGTATTTCTGTTACAGCAGCACTAAGAAACTGAGATTATATTTCTGTTTAAAAAGCAGTGAAAACAACAAATTGATCATGCTTTTATTACCTGTTTAAACGTTCGAAGTCTATCCAGTGTTTTCTGTCTTTCTTGGCTAACCCAGGCACTTTTTCTTTCTTCTTCATCATGTAATTTTTCTCTCTTCTAATAAAAATTGGTAATAATTTCATTATGATGTATCCCATTCATTTTTACCATTAACAGGAATAACAACAACAAAAAAAGATGAGCTTTCTCCCAATATGTAAACTGAGTAACTCCACAGAATGATATATTAAACAAAATATTTTACAGCAAGAAAACAGGACAACTTTTTAAAAGAAATCATTATGCCAACGAAAATAACACTATTTAATGTTTTTGCATTTACTCCCAATTTGAAATGTCATCCTATAAAATAAAAAGAAATCTCCTTTGAACTAAAAAATGTTTTATCTTTGGGGTTACAGCTTAACCAATTAAGAGTACAAAATACTTTTAGCTGCTATATTCTGCTAACACAAACAGCTGTCCTTAAAACCAGTAACCAACTGATTATTAATTTAGATATTATAAATTACTTCAAGCAATATAATGGAAATGAAAACATATTTCCACCATTATTCAAGTTTTATTTGGTTTAATGTCACATTCAGTAATCTGCAGGTTGTTTTAAACTTTTCCTATATTGTTGAATCATCTGGAAGCTGTCTAACAAAATCTCATTTGGCAGAATAAATACAAGTTAAATGAATTAAAAAGCTTTCTAATAGGTATATGGGTTACGGCTGTTTTATTTTATTTTTTTAAAAAAAAGGAGACACCTTCCACAAACTCAGATAATTTCACATGGAGATGAGGATGGTGTCATTAACCTGCCTCTCTGTTATACTTCTACTGCCCTGTTCCAATTCAATCCTCTATTATTCTTTTATCCCAGCACCTCTCTCCTCTTTCCCACCAGCGTTTTCTTGGAGAATATGACTTCAAATGAGTTATTGCTGCATTTGCTTTGGATGAGTGTATCAAAATCTAGGAAAAGATTTCTTTCTTTCATTCCTTACTTTTCTTTAATTCCTCAGAAATGTCAAAAGGAGGATGGATAAGGGAGGGTGGGGAGGGAGGAAATGGAAAAATAAGTATGTGTAAGAGACCAATTATATTGAACAAAATGTTATCTAACAATATAATATTTGCACATAAGAATGCGAAATTGCACCATTTACTAACAGAACAATTTAAAATAACTCTCAGTCAGAGCTGAAATAAATTAGCTTGTACCAAAGTAATAGAAAAGTCATAAAGTAAGAAAAAATATTAACAAAAACGAATGTTTCCACGGCAACGAAACTATACTTATTCAGGTCATTTAGGTGAACTACTTTAAGAAGAATGATTTCCTTGAATGCCTGTAAAGTATGGTCAGGGGACCTTCTGATAGAAGATAATGGAATAAAGACTGTTTTGACTTTCTTCTTCTTCCTTGACACCAATTAAAAACATAAAGAATGAGAATTGGAGAAGAAAATATCATTTTTGAAAAAAACAAGAAAATGATACCAATTCCAAGCTACAAATTATGGCAAATACTCATCAAATGAATGAAGTTTTGACAAAAATTAAGAAAGGTCCTAAGATTCATCTTCAAACTGCTAGGACAGAGTTCTCTAAAAAAAATAAATGTCACAATCCTGAAAACCCCATTCACTTTGATCAGTGATAAAACTAGGGCACAAGAGCATACCACAGGAAAGCTAAGAATATTCCTGTAACTATCTGATTCCAGACCACAGGATGGTGTAGCTGAAGGAGCAGCAACACTACAGAAACATGATCTTTATTTTCAACATTTCTACCTTGTCCTAAGGGAAACTATAAGTTGTGAGATGGGGTGAAGGAAGGCAGGCAATGATTTTCAACTACCAACACAGCCAGCCTATGTTCTAAGGACTGTCTTTGAATCACATGTCAACCACACGGAGAGAAGTATCCCTCTAAGTAGGGGACAGGGTTGTTCAGAACAACAAATCTCAACTTAATATGTAGACTGATCCAGCCCCTCTCTGCCATCATTCTAAGACAAGTAATAATGAGAAAGGAAATGGCATGAGTTCTGGGTGTCTATACACAGTGGGGATGCATGGGTGGGACTTATACATGAAAGCCACGGTAGAAGATATGTTTGAAAACAGACTAGGCTCGCAGAAATCACACAAAATGAAATGGAAAAGAATAGCAACAAAAGTTAATTAGCTAGAAGAAAACATCACTCTAAAGAACCTGATGTGAGTATTACTGATACTGTTTAAATGGAGAACATAACAGATGGTTCAGAAGAAATTATTAAAAAGTATTATCAAAGAAAACTTCTTTGAAATAAAGGAAGGCTTAAATCTTCAGTCCAAAGGGTACATTTAGTTTCTGAAAAACATGATATAGATGATCACCAAGTAAAGTTACAACTTCAAGGGTAAGGAAAGACTCATATTGGTAGCCCTAAGGAAAAAAATAAAGTCTCCTATGGGGTCCTGAGGAGGCTGGCCTCAGACCTCTCTACTACAACATTCAATGCTATAAGACAGTGGAACAATTTTCTCCAATATATTGAAGGAGGGAAAATATGACCCAGACCAATAGTTTTTAAGTATAAAGGAAACACAGACATTCCCCAAACATGCCAGAACTCTAAAAACACAGCAACCACGAAACTTTCCTGAAAATAGTACCTTATAATGATACTTAACGAACTCTGAGATGAATCAAACTCAGAATAGAAAAGCTGTGTTCAGACGACTGGCATTAAGCACTGAATCCATTTAAATATAGTAAGTTACATTAAACAACTTGGGTAATTTGACTATATAATAAGGAACATGTTACTGTTGTTAACTGTCGTCAAGTCAGCCCGACTCGTGGCAGTCCCATGTTACAGAGTAGAACTACCCCGTGGTTTTTTTTTTTTTTTAATTGTGATTTTGGTGAAAATTTACAGAGCAGATTCAGTTTCCATATAGCAGTTCACATAACTTTGTCTCATGACATCGACCACAATACAACAGCTCCCCTCCCACTTCCTCCTAACAGTCATCTCTTCCCTGTGTCCATCCCTCCATGCAGCCCTGCCCCCTGAGCTGTCTCCCTGTGCATAAACAGCCCTTCTTTCTCCCATGATTGTTCTCTCCAAGGAGTGTATCTACTTGAGGTAAATGTTCAGCTCCTATGCCTGTCTTTTGTTTGGCTGGAAGCCACAGGTGTGGGTTCAATTCCAGACCTGAAGGGCAGCTAGGGTCCATAGTCTCAGTGGTTCCACCAGGCTCTATCAGACCAGCAAACCTGGTCACGCCCCCTTTTCTCTTTCCCAAAGGATTTTGAGTTTTTGTTCTCCCTCTTTATCCAGGATCTCCTACATAGATGCTCCTCTGAGTGGTTGACATTGGTAGCTGGGCACCATCCAGTTCTTCTGGTCTCATAGTTGTATAGGCTGCAGATCGCATGGTGTACCAGTCACTAGGACTGATTGTTTTCATTAATCTTCGGTTTTCTTCATTCTTCTTTGCTCTGGAAGAGGAGAGACCCATCGTTGCATCTAGATGGCTGCTTGCAAGCTTTTAAGATCCCAGTCGCTACTTGCCAAAGTAGGAGGTGGAACAAGTTTTGTGTAGTATGTTATGCCAATTGAGCTTGATGTCCTCTGTGACTATGGTCCTGAGCCCCATGGGGTTTTCTTGATTATAATCTTTACAGAAGCAATCTACTAGACCTTTCTTCTGCAGAACTGAACCACCAACCTTTGTTAGCAGCTGACTGTAAAATGCTGGTGTCACCCAAGCTCCCAACAAAGGATATACAAGTTATATTATTATTTTTATATTATGAAGGTTCACAACACACTGGGAGGTAGAAGGAAAAAGGAGTTGAGACAATGAATAAAGGCAGGAATTGCTTCATCTTTCATCACGTGAGTCTAAAGTTGAAATACTATTTTAAAACTATGCTCCCAATATTCAATGTTTTTCCAAGTATTTTTGTTGTTAAGATATTTATATAAATTTCAGCAGGCTTTTCAGATTCACTAATTACTCAGGGTAAAGTAAAACTTAGTATTTTGAGGTTGATTTTTTTAAACTATTTTTTTATTGTGCCTCTACTGCTTTAATCTCTGATAATGATCATGTATCTCTTTTTATGAAAACAACAAGTCTTTTTAAGTATAAGAATGGCTGAGAAACATGCCACTAATTGAATTACTCAAAATTATTTTAAAAGCAACAATTAAGAAAAAAATATTGTTGAGGTTCTGTTTTTTAAAATCTGATAAATGATCAAAATTTATACACAGGCATCACAATACTCTTCTGGGGGGAAAAATCACCTTGCTTGGACAACAGAACTAAATTATATAATACTAAATAAAAAGCAGGAAACATTTTAAGACCAAGGAGTAGCAAAAGCATCATATAAACATGTTAAAATATCATCTAAGCCAGTAACATGACAGGGCAAAGGCCGCTTAAGATAAAGGAATTCTATTCTTTCATCAAATATGTACTGATTATTTCAGCAGAGCTGGCAAAGTGTATTAACCACCAGAAAAAAAAGTAGGGATGTATAAGTGAAGTTGGAGAAGGGGTGGTATGTTAGACAGACATGTAACTAATTACAAAAATAAATGAAGGGTATACCCTAGGTGGCACTAACCTAAGGATTGGTGGTTTGAACCCATCCAGTGGTGCCACAGAAGAAAGGCCTAGTGATCCATAAAGATTACAGCCAAGAAAACCCAGTGGAGTAGTTCTACTCTGTAACATTTGGCAAGAAGTTTGGTGCTTTTTTTTTCGGTCAAGCACCAAGGAAGAAACCTGACCCTAGTGGAGGTGGTAAGAAAGAGAAATTCAAGTTTTCTAATCTGGCCAATAATGGGTGGATGGTGGTATCATTAACTCAGATTTGAGATTAAAGAGGTCAGAGATTGGGGGGTAGGAAGGAGAAGCAATCTAGTGAAGTACAAAGACATCTACCTAACTTGGAGTTAAGGCAAGAAAGGACAGTACGGGTAACAGTAGATATTATTTTCATAAATTCAGGCTTACCTCATATACAGACAGGTTTCCTAAAAATCTGTGCAGGCATCCAGAAGAACTTAAACTGAGAACATTGTCAAGGAA